TTTTTTTTTTTTTTTTTTTGAAAATTGTAAGATTTTTATTTCGACAAAAAGTTTTGAAAACGACACTTGACGTTATAGCCAAATTGGCCCGTAACATGTACAAGGTCAACGACAAATGCCTACAAGATACGACGACTTTTAATTTGTATATATTCACTACAAAATAATTGTTATATTCCAACGGAAAATCTTATGGCAATATAATCCAATGGAAATTCCAACGGATATTCCAATGGTATAGCTTCCGTTGGAATGATTCCAACAGAAATTCCAATAGAAATATTCCATTGAAATGTGTTTTTCATTGGAATTTTAGATGGAATTTTATGATTCTAACGGCTCTATTTCCAACGACTTTTTACCGTAGGAATTTCCGTTGGAATATGAAAATTCCGTTGGAAGTTTTATTTCCACTCCTGTTGGAAAATCCACCGTTGGAATCGTCAAAGTTCAACAGAAATTCCAATGGAAACTTCATTCCAACGGAATATTTTTGTTGAAATTTCCGTTGGAATCCATTGAAAAATTCCAACGGAAATAATAGTATTGAAATATCCATTGGAATAATTCATTTTGGAATATATTTCCGTTGTAATTTCATTATTTTCTTGTAGTGATTGGTATTTTAAATATACAAGTAATACGACGAACAATACTATTATTTGAACTCTCAAGACTCAGCGAAAAAATCAAACAAAACAATATGCTTTTATGAACATTGAAAATGATGCAAAAGCTCTTAATTTTCAAGTTATGAATGATCTCATATATATGAGTGTTTATAGACGTCGAAAAACACCTCCAAGATGTTTATTTAAGTGTCAAAAAATACCTTTTATGACGTACCCAAATAAGAAAGGACGCATCTAGAGACCAAAAAACACCTTATGGTCATCAAGGGTCGCGACCATCCGTTGCACGCGGCCAGCTACGTCGGCGCACAAGCTCATCCGGTCAGAATTGAGGTTTGCATTTTCCTACTTGTCCCCGATAAACTCTTCTAGAGTTATAGCATGCGAGATGATGATCGGGTCATTTTTCGATTATCATAACATTTGTTAAAAATAAATTATTTTGCGAATACCAAATATTGATTGCAATACCTTTTATTTTCCTACATTTTTCAGTTACTTTTACATATTATCTTTTCACGCTAATCAATCTTGAAATTTAACATTAAACCACAATCAACAAACAATTATAATTAGGGTAAAATACTTTTTCCAATCCGAACTATCACGGTTTTGGCACATCACCATATGAACTATTTTTTTTTACAAACCACCATATGAACTATACGGGTTTGTCAATATGCCCCCTAAACCGGATATAAAAGTGGTTTAGGGGGCACATTGACAAACCCGTGATAGTTCATATGGTGGTTTGTAAAAGTATTTAGGGGGCACATATGGTGACCAAACAGTTTTTCAGTCAAAACCACTTTTATATCTGGTTTAGGAGGCACATTGACAAACTTGTATAGTTCATATGGTGGTTTGTAAAAAAAAATAGTTTATATGGTGATGCGCCAAAACCGTAATAGTTCGGATGGGAAAAAGTATTTTACCCTTATAATTAAGTATAGAAGCTAACCGTTATATTTTATATCAATGTAATATAATTATATTTTTATAACTATTTTATTATATAATAATACTAACTAATAATAAATATAAGAAAATTACTTATCCGGAATTCTAAACTTTTCTCTTAAAGCTATTTATGTTGATAAATAATATTCTTTTTATCTCATTAAGCTTTTTTCTTTAGAATTATCTCATCTATATATATATATATATATATATATATAATTGCTAGTATATAGCATTTAATAAAACCTCTAAACTTTTCCCTCCATTTTTGGTTATAAAATTTATCATTAATATTTTTTTATTTCTCACATTAATATATCCTATTGAGTGTAATTATCTATGTTTTTATTATATAATATAATAGTTATTGTTAATACCAACTAATAGTAATTCACAATAAAATATAAAAACAATTGCTTCAAGTTATTTATT